TGCACCAGGTGACAGCTTTGTCTGTGTGGTGGGTGGAGGGAGGTGGAGCCTGCACTAGCCCGAAGGCTCTGACCAAGCCGGGAGGCGGAGCCTGTGGCCTGCTTGGCAGTAGGGGTCCCCAGTCCAAGTCTCACCAAGGGGTCCAGTTGCCAAGTCGCATGGGGCCTATGGCTGAACCAGTGTGGTTGTAAGGAGGGGTGCACTCCAAGACTCAACAAAGGGTCTAGTTGCCAAGTCTCGCGGGGCCTGTGGTGAAGCTGCGGGCTTGGCAGGAGGGTCCCACACTCCAAGACTCATAGATGGGTCCAGGCACGGAGTTGCCTGGGGCCTGTGTCTGAAGCATTGGGCTTGGCGGGAGGGAAGCACACTCCAGTGCTCACAGGAGCCTGCAGCTGGGGAGGCTGGAGTCCCAGAGTCTGTGGGTCTGCAGATGAGGTAGCAGGTCTTTGGCCAGAGTGGCTGAAGGGTCCAGGATGGTGTCTGAGGCCAGTCTGGGTGGAGATGAGGCTGGGCTCCTAGTCACAGCAGCTTTCCCCTTCAAGATGGCGTGGTTTCTGTGCCAGAGCCAGCCACCCAGGAGTGTTTACAGTGGTAGCAGAGGCTCGCCATTTAGGAGAGCCTGGTCTGCCATCCCCAGAGACTCTTGTGGGATCTAACTGTCCCTCCCTCCCTCACACACACACACACACACACACACACACACACACCACACAAGTCTACATATTCCCCTTTTGTTCCCTCACTCACTCACACTCTCCCCATCACTGCCATCCTGCCGGCTGCCATCTTCAAATCCTCCCATCAGCCAATGTTTTAGAGGGGTAATGGAATGCATTATCTGTGCTTTGTTGAGCAGAAATTGGTTAAGATGTTACAGAGAACTGGAATAAATCAAACAATGCTCAGAGAGTTTGGAGTTACACTTTACTCACCGCTGTGGGCTTAGAGAAAATGAATTCAAATTCTAAGCTGAGCAAGCAGAATTTCCCTTTTTATGAAAGAGCCAGCCCTATGTGTGCTTAGTGGTTATCTCTCTGTTAGCCTTGAAAACTACACAGTTCTATCCTAATAAAAAATGCACCTGGCATGGCATTGAGAGTATGGGGGTATCTAGTCTCTGGCCTACAAGGTCAGAAAGCTAAGTTTACCTTCCTCATTATTCAAGCAGGCTAAAGCAGGCTAGAAAGCAAAGTTATTATTTTTTTTAGAATAGGAGGCCGTCTAAAGAATAGCAGAGAATTCCAAACAGTAGTCTTACAAAATAGGGGTTAACTTTCTCAAAGAGAGTTTTTACATCTTTGCTCATTTAAAAAATAAATCTAGATATGTACAGAATAAAAAGTTAAAGTTCCCTTTAACCTATCCCCTCTGCAGGGAAAATGCTCTTAACATTTGGAATGTATCAGTCCAGACTCTTCTATGCATTTATTTTTACATGTGCATGCCTTAAGTTATATGATTTGCCAGGCACTGTACTAAGACATTGATGTGAATTATCTTGTTTAATCCTTACAACACCTTTATGAGAATACTACTGTTATCTTCATGCTATAGATTCATAAACCTAGGCTCAGAAAGGTTCACTAAATTGCTCTAGGCCACATAGTGACTAATTTATTCTTCCTCCTGAGAGAACTGTCTTAATGTATATTAATCAAGTTGAATGTTTGGATCCATTACTTTCTTTTTAAAAATATGTTTTTTATTGATTGTTAGAAAGAGACAAAGGAAGAGGCAGAAAGAGAGAGAAAGAGAGAGAAACATTTATGGAATAGAAACATTGGTCAGCTGCCTCCTGCACACGCCTTACTGGGGATTGAGCCTGAAACTGGGCATGTGCCCTGACTGGGAATTGAACTGGCAACCTCTCAGTGCATGGAACGATGCTCAACCAACTAAACCACAAGGGCCAGGGCCCATTCATTTCTTCAGTAAACATTTATTGAGAATGGCCATTCTTGGCCAGGTACTGAACATAAAGCCAGGTATTCAAACACATGGTTTCTGTCTTAAGGTGTCTGAAAAAGGTGGGTGAATCTGTGACCTAAAATATTCCCCCCAATCTTAGTAAATAGATAGAGCAGGATTATAATTCAGGTTTTTAAAAACAATTGCTTTATATGATTCCTCTAAGTGCACAGACATTTTGGTAGATTGTTGTTTGTTTGTTTTTTGTTTTGTTTTTTAATTTTTTTTAGAGGTGGTCAACTTGAATATTATTGTTTTCATGAGAAGATAAGTTTGGAGCTCCCAGAAATCAGTGTCCAATTGTGAAGACCCAGTTTGTAAATTGCAGACCATAAATACACATTGTGAAACGTTTTATATATATAATGCTCTACTATAATCTAAGGATGATTGGGATATGATGGGATGCAAGCTTGGAGTTCTAATTCCCTAAGTGGGAGGACTGTGGTAAAGAGTTTAGATCCACTAAGGAGCGTGATTAAAATATTGAAAAGTGGTAGCTTAAACAAGAACAAGCAATTGAAAAGAGAATCAGAAGTCCAGAAAAGAGAAAATAAGAAAGTTGTATATAAAGAGATATTATGAGTAAAAGAATCATAACATAAAAATTGAGGAATTGGATCATAATGTTTGAAAAAATTTAAAGGCTACATGTTGAGACAGAACCAAGACCTTACCTATTATGCAACACATTCCACAATGCTGACCAATTTCAACGTACACTATGGAGGACTAAAGGGAAATGTCTCTCCCCAAGATGGGGGTGAAGAAATTGAGCCACATCAGTGTCTGACCTTCAAATGCATAAATGCCAAAGGCTTTTAAAGCCAGTTGGCAACATGTACTGGGATGGAAGAATCAGGGGATTATTCTTATAAACATATTATGGGATCTTACATAAGGGAGCAAAAAGGAAGCCTTGATTGGAAACCTTACAAGAATGGCTATATATTCTTTGTGACTGCTGAAACATTTACATGTACAAACACATGGAATGTGGTGGCTATGATGGAGAGGATTAAGCACCAGGATGGGGAAAAAAATAAAAAATGAGGAAGAAAATGAAAAATGTTGAATTTCTTAAATTGTTTGCAAAGAAACTAGAGCCTGTGACAGAATTTAGTTCACATGACTGAAGTGTTTCTTTGGTGTAGGAAAAAATATTGCTGTCATATCTGTCTTTAGAAAAAATTTTTAATAAGAAAAATTTTGTGGTAGCTCCTTGCCTGGAGGACTTTAAAAATAGAAGTGATTTCATCTGTCTGGAATGGTCTGTGTCAGCACTTGCCCTAGGCAAAAACTTCCCCTCCCTCCTCCCTACCAGACGACCCCTCCCCCACTGCCCCTTTCCATGCCCTACAACTTCTGCCATGACACCTTTTTCCTGGACCATAGTTCTAATGTGACCTTCCACATAAAATCAAACCCCTTTCCTTCAGCTCACTCAAGGCGCTAGGGATGCAGTAGGTTTCACCCTTTGTGGCCTATTTGCATTTAAAAATAGGACCCTGGCTAACCCACAGGAATACCCAGTTGGTGGAACTTGGGACAGAATAACCAAGTGGAGAGAAGTCCAAGGGAGAGGGGAGTATTTTTGGTTGCTGGGGGAAGGGGGAGGGGTACCCCGCCTTCCTGGAAGCTATTAAATCCCAGATGTGGGCTTAGTTCAGTGTGGTACTGTCTTGAGGGAGCCGGCAGGGGGAGGAGAGAGGGTAGCTGGACTTTTTGACCTCTCAAGGTTGCTGTTAATTCTATGGGTCAGTGATTTCCAACTACATTTCCCTGCACTCGGCTTTCTTTGCAGCACTCTAGCACCGTGTGACTTGGCTTTAACTAGGGATTTTCAGCATCGTCTTTGTGGCTAATAGCCTGTGCCCAAATGTGCCATCACAGTCCTCCCTGCAAACATCAACCCCGGGGTTCAGCAGCCACACTCAGCTCAGAGAGATTTTCACAGAGAATTCTTCAAAGCTCCAGTTCTCAGAGAAGCATAAGAAATGGGCTGTTTTGTGCCCACAGTGTGTGTGGGCTTCATGAAAAACAAAAAACAAAAAACAACAAAAACAAAACAAAACATGTGGCTTTCTGTGAATGAAATGAAAAGCTGCAAAAAGAAATCTACTCAAGGAGTTCATATGAGTAATTTGGTAAACTTCATATTGGATCAACATTCAGGAGCTCCTACTATGTGCCTGGCTCTGTTAGACCTGGTGCATACCAAGAAAGAAAAAAAAACAAGGTCCCTTTATGAAGGAATTCAGTCTAACAGACATCCTGTGTAAGAAATGACACATTTGAGGTAAGCAAGGGTGCTCTTGGCTCAACCTGTTGCTGATAGGTTCCAGAGAAGGCTGCCTATCCCAGGGAGATGACATCTGAGCAGAGTAGGAGTAAGCCAAACCAAAGAAATGTGGGAAGTGTGGTCTGTGTAGAAGGAACGATATGAGCAGAAGCATAGAGGAATGAAACTACTTGACATGCGTGGGGAACTAGGAGCAGGCTGTAATTATTAGAGGAAAGTGTTGGGGAGGGGGAGGGGCAAGAAATGAGGCTGGAGGGGCAGGCGGAGCTGCCTTAGGGAGAGAGGGCCAGCTTATGATGTTAAGGAGAATAGATTTTATCCTGAGGGGAGTCACTGAAGGATTTTAAGCAGGTCAGATCTGCATCTTGATTAAACTGTCAATTTCGGGAAAATCATTCAAATTGCCTGTGTGATGAATTGATTAAAGAATTCTATTGTAAGGGTAGATTTTCAGGTCTAGCCATAGTTAAGTTCAAGGCTCTGTTTTTCCAAGAGGATTTATCATTAGTCTGAGACCTTTTAAGGTATACCCCTAAAACAATTTATAGATAGATGCATGGATCTACCTGTAAAACTCAACATCTTTTGGGGGTGGGGGGGTGCAGCACTTCTAAATAGTGCTCAAGGGAAACAGTGTTTGAAGAATCTTATCACTTCTACCATTTATGCACACTGCAGTGATAGCAGGTTAGGAATGCAAATTGTGCTATGGTCTCTTTGTTTTGTTCAGCAAAAGTCAACTGGGAAGGCGCTGTTTAACCTGAGTTGCAGCCATCTAAACCTTGCTGAAAAGGAATATTTTGGACTAGAATTCTGTAGCCATTCTGGAAATAATGTAAGTTGGTTCTTCGTGTCTACAATTGCTTCTAAATTCAGTTTGTAGCTAGGTACATAAGGCTCAAACCGCTGACTGAAAAATGGAAAAAAAGTTAAACCCTTGCAAAATAACTTCTCTGTTAAGTCACCTCAGTTTGCCAAACACAAACTCTTCTGCCCCATGCTCCTCTTTTGTCACTCAGTGAACAGCTATCTATGCTTTATCTATTTTGACTTTCCAGAGGCTGAACCTCAACCTCCAGAATTGACTCCTAAACTCTCTAATGCAGTGGTTCTCAACCTGTGGGTCGCGACCCCTTTGGCTGTCGAACGACCCTTTCACAGGAGTCGCTAAGACCATCCTGCATATCAGATATTTACATAATGATTCGTAACAGTAGCAACATTACAGTTATGAAGTAGCAACGAAAATAATTTTATGGTTGGGTCACAACATGAGGAACTGTATTTAAAGGGCCAGAAGGTTGAGAACCACTGCTCTAATGAGTCTTCAGGGGACTTTCCTTTCCCCTCTCTAAAGTCTTAATATTCCCTATATTCTTCCTGCTGTGTCCTCCCTGTTATCTGGCACCTTCCCAGAAAGGCTCATTATATCTGTTAAGCTGGCATTTGGGGGCTGTAGGATTCAAACATGGAGCCAAATGCCTTCATTAGTTTTTATAGCAACTAATGAGCCTTGTATATGACACCTCTGTCATCTGACAGGCAGGGGAGCAGTGATTCAAATGTCAACAACAAAGAGGTTATAGATCAATAATGTTCACTGTCATTGAGAAAATACAAGGGGGCAGATTGAGTGTGGTGGAGGTACCTCAGCTCAGTCATTGTTGTTTCTATTTTTAGAAGTCTAAATAGTCTTGGTATTTATTTATTTCATATTTACTTTTATCTGGTACCAAAAAAGAAAGATGCATTCAATGCCATGTTCTAGCAATTTTTTTCATTAATATTATTGCAGGTCTGGTTGGAACTTCTGAAGCCTATTACAAAACAAGTAAAAAGTAAGTATGGAAAATAATTTAAGGAATATAATTCCCAGCTAAAACTTCAAAATATTTCAGTAGTGCCACACTATTCCTCACATTAATATAAGGGAAGAAAATGGCTTTGATGTATTATTTTAATCCTTCATACGTCTAGTAAATTCAGCAATTTAGAAAATCATTTTAACTTTCCCTGAGATGAAGAAAATCATGCTGCTGGATCTTTGATTGAATTTGAAGAAGCCTGGTAATTATAGCACTCTGTGGATTGGCTCTGGGAATATATTTCAGGTTCTAGCATTACAAACGTTTGAGCATCCTTAATGTTAATCTGCAATGCCACTCACCTTCTGCCTAAAGATGTTTTTGTTTTATCCTGTCACAGACATTATTCATTCATTTCAGTTCATATTTGAGTGCCTACAATTATGAAATACACCTCCCCTGTATATCACAATCTAGTGTGGCGATTCTCAAATTTTAGTGTGTATTAGGATTATTTGGAGTTCTTGTTAAAATACAGATTATTGGGCCTCATTCCTGCATTTTCAACAAATTCCACTGGTGTTTCTGATGCTGGTGGATTTCAGTCAACACTTTGTGAAACATTCTCTTATAGTGTCTCTTCTCTCACCTGTTCTTTATATGTTGGTGCTTTCCACAGCTCAGTCTCTTTCCCACTGCAAAATGATAATGTCACATTATTCCAAAAGCTTCTGAACTGATTCCCCCTAACTCATCATGTACACTACTCCCAAAGGCAACTATTGAAAATACCAGTCTGATCACATCACTGTTCTGTTTACGAAGCTTCCATGGCTCCATATTGCCCTTAGAATAAAGTACAAACTCATTAGAATGTTCCATAAAACACTGAACTCTGCCTGCATTTCTAGCTTTACTTCTGCCACTGATCACTTTGTATCATATTCCTACCCCTCCTGATTTTGGCTAAACTAACTTCATCTGTAGGCTTCTCAGATAAAATAAAGGATGCCAAACTAAGTTGGAATTTCCAATAAAGAAAGGATAATTTCCTTGTATATGTATGTCCCATGCAATCACTTATCTGAGATTCAAATTTAACTGGGAATCCTGTATTTTATTTGGTAAATCTAGCAACCCTACTCAGATTTCAATTCTTATAGGAAGCTTTCCTTGACCTTCTTCAAACTCTTTTGTTCCCCTCATGTGCTTCCCCAGTACTCAGTGCTTACAACACTTGGTGGCACTGTAATTGTCTGTCTAGATGTCTGTCTCTTATACCAGCATATGAGTGCTTTATTGTCATTTTATTTCCAACTAGAGGCCCAGTGCACAAAATTGTGTGGATAGGGTCCCTAGGGCCTAGCCTCCTGCCATCAGGGCCATCTTCTCCCCGATCACCAGTGCCCAGGCTGAACACCGCCTCCGCCACCAGGCTGTCAGGCCATTGGGGTCACCAGCTCATCCCCGGCTGCTTGGGGGCTCTGGCTTGTGGGAAAGCAGGTGCTGGTGACTTCACCTCCATGCGTGTACACTGGGCCGACCGCTGATGGAACGCGCTGCCCAGTCGGGGCTGCTCATGCTGTTGCCACCACTGCTGCTGCTGCTGGGGCTTGAGGTGCTGAGGGAAGCTGCGGGGCATGTCCCCGACCTACCTGCCTCAGAGTGAGCGGCCCCGAGTGGGCGGCACACATCAACAGCAGGCCCGGCGCACATGCATGGAAGTGAATTCGCCGGTGCCTGCTTTCCTGCAGGCCTGAGCCCCCGAGCAGCTGTGGATGAGCTGGTGATTCCAACGGCCTGACAGCCAGCCTGGTCCTCCCGCCACCCATCCCGATTCCCCTGTTCAGCATCGCTGATCCATCAGAGCCTGCAGGCCAGGGGCAGGGACCAAGAGGTCAGCTGTTCAGACCACTCGCCAGTCCCCAGTCCTGCCCGGCCCTGCTTGTGGGCCAGGGGGGAGAGACCGAGAGGTGCTCAATGCACCTCATGGTGACCAGTCATTTGGTCGTCATGGTCATCACAGACACTGGCTTTATATATATATATATATATATATATATATATAGCACAGTGCTTGACTTAAAATAAGCACTCACAAATATTTGCTGAATGATGTTAAATTCTGCAAGCTGCAGAGTTTCTGATTTTCAATGCAAGTAGGAATGAAGGCAAGCAGATATGTTTTAATGTAGATTTTAAGATACATAGAGGCATCAGGCCATACTTCTTCTGGTTCCCTTTATGAGATCCTTCAACTAGGTGATACTCACCTGCTTTTAAAGCAGGATACTTCTCTCAACCAGGAATGCTGAATTCAAAGAAGCAAGTGGTACATTTTTCAAAATGAGGCACTTCTTAAGAGGGGACACAGTAGGCCCCTAAGAGGCACATCTTTAGGAAAAGAAACTCAAAGGGAAGGAGGGTAGGAAGAGGGTCAGGAGAATATTCTTAATTGCTATTCACATAGAGACACAATAGAGAAATAGCAGCATCTTACAAATGTGAAAAATTGACATGTAAATAAAACTTATGGAGATATTGTGTTTTAAGATCCTAAGGAGGTTGTTTTCAAATTTATGGTGAAATTTTTCCCAGTGGACCCTGGACATCTACAAGAAGAGCTTACAAGGTTAGTACTTACCTATGTGTCTGTTGTATGATGTTACTTAAGAATTATTATTCTCCACTTACCAGGGAATGGGCTTATTGTCTTTGGATGGCTTGGCTCTCAATGTCACTCTCTGGAAGATGGTGAGGAGCTGGAGAGAAGAAGGGCTTGGCTAGTACCCAAAATGTTATTCTTCCAAAGTGTGGGGACTTCACAGAGAAGGGGGGTGTTCTAGAAGTGGTAGCTAACATGGGTGCCCACTTGCGGGTTATGCCATTAACTGCTGCAACAGAGTGCTTGCCTTCATTGCATCTGTGCTCAAATCAGAGGGCAGCTTGACAGCACAAGTGTAATGCCAGCTGATTTCATGGATATTAAAAAGTGTGTGTGTGTGTGTGTATCCCATAGGTAGAAAATGATGATGATATATACTTATAAAAAATTTAAAAAGTAAAAAGTATACATTTTTATAAATTATTTATAATGTTTAATATACACTATTGGCAATTTTATTATAATTATTTAATAATTAACTATTATTAAAATTTTGCTATAATTCACTTATAATTTATAATGATAAAATTTTAAACTTTATAAAAGTAAAATATTTTTACTTATAAAAATTAAAAAGTTAAAACGTATAAAACATTTTATTTGTTTGTTTATTTATTTTTTATTTATTTATTTCCTCACCGAAGAACATTATCATTGAATTTTAGAGGGAGGAGAAGGGAGAGAAGGAGAGAAAGGGAGGGAGAAACATCAATATGAGAGAGAAATATTGATCAGTTGCCTCCTGACAGCTCCCAACTGGGGCGAGGGATTGAACCTGCAACCTAGGCATGTTCCCTGACTTGGAAATGAACCCAACCCAGTCCTACTGACTGAGCCACCCGGCCCAGGGCTAACACATTTTAAAAAGTGTTTTAGTACTTATTTAAAATGCCCTTTAAAATTATAATGTAAATCTACTTCTTCTAAGATACATTTTCAACATAACACTTCCCAAAACCTTACTCTGCTTTCCAGACCTTAGACTTTTACATGTAGAAGTGATATAACAGATATGAGATAATCTAGTCCAGTCCTCTTTGATTACAGATGAGGAACAGGTCCTGGGAGCTAGAGTGAATTAGTTGGCAGTTATTCTCCCTGAATTCTCTGTTTCACCCCTTCTCTACAGGGATGCTTCTTTTATGAGGGGTCTTTGCAGAAGTCACCTTTCACAAATCAGTCTCTCTCTCTCTCTCTCTCTCTCTCTCTCTCTCTCTCTCTCTCTTTCTCTCTCTCCTAATTCTCTCCACATTTGTGAGTTGTAGGCCACTTTCCTAGATAACTTGATTTCTTGGTAACTATATTAATTTGCATTTGCCAGCCCATAACGTATTTCAGTTGGGTCTCAAATTGTGAACAGTTTTGATGGAGATAAACTTTCTCCCCCCCACCAAAAAAGAATGAGAAAATCAATGTGATGATAAATGATTCATCAGCTGTTCAGAGCAAGGATTTGGTATTTGTAGCAGACAGCTGCCTTCTTAACAGCAATGAACGTGTCAAATGACGAGAAGTTTCATTTTTTTTCTTGCTAGGAGCAAAATGAAATTCACTTTCCCTTTAGCAGTTGAGGCTGATGATTGTATTTACATCTATATTTGAAATCAGGCAGTGGCAAAAGTTAGAATTCCTTTATTTTATCCTCATTGGTCCACCTAAGAATACTTAACTATAAATGACTTGATAAGGATGCTTTGTTTAGGTCCAATACATAAGTTTCTGACACTTGTGTGCAAATAATAATTTCTAATTGAATCATCTCTAACTCATTTGGGGAGCACACAGTAGGAAAGATTATAATAACAAATGCTTTTGTAAATTGAATAATTACCTGCTAATTTACTTGTATGTTTTCTAATCTGAGTTGTCATCTATCACCTGAAATTAATTTTAATTCTCCACATTGCCTTCAAGGCTTAATTGGTTTTAAATAAAAGTCCAGGCAGAGCTTTATATAAATAAAGGGAAATGCCCACAGCAGATACAATAAATGTTTTAATGTATAAAATAAAATATTGGAACCAATTTTGGACTATGAGATAAAGCAAGCAGTGGTAGAATCTTAATTATATACATCTTTTCAAAAGTTGATTCTCCTTTGATAATGGCTTAAAAGTGTGAGACAAATGCTATCTGTTTGGCAAAGCTCTGGATACCAACCAGCACTTTATGGGTCCCTGATGATCTGTTGGTGGAAAAAGGGCAGTTTGTCTTCCATTCGGTATAAAGTAATTCCTTACCTGCTCTGTGCAGAGTGCTACCTTGGCTGTGGTGACACAGAGAAGGTGATCCAGCCCAGCACTCTGCACAGAGCAAAAGAGTGGTCTCAAGTCTTTGATTTCTGAAATACGATCTTTAGAATAGGAGGAGGCCTAAATTCAGTGGCAGATCTGAGTTCTGGCCACAGTTTCACTATCTTTGGGTGATTTAACCTTGCCAAATCACCTACTCTCTGTCTTCCCATAATTGTGAAATGGGGTGATTGCCCTGCCAACCTCTTAAATAGTTTTGATAGTGAGTGCTTGATTGTATTTTGTAAACAGAGCAGTACTGGCTTCCTGAGCAGGCTGATTCTTGCTGATTTCCCTTTCTCTCTGGCTGGGTATGTGGTTTTCTACGTGGCAGAAACCACCAGAGGATGATTGGCCAACTCCTTCAAGTTGGCAGGAGGATTTGGCTAGGGTGATTCCTAATGGCTGTTAGTCCTGCCAAAGTGCTGGATCAACCAAGTTGTGGTCTAGTACTGGTTTGGGGCTGAAGCAAAGCCTGTGCATTACTCACCACCCCCAAAAACATCCTACTGACTGGGGATGCCGTTTCATTCTTGAAACATATTGGATCTGGGAGAAGGGATATGCTTCTTTTTTGTTTCTGTTTCTTTCTCAAGAGATTTTCCCCCAACTTCCTTGCAGGTATCTTTTTACTCTTCAAATAAAGAAGGATTTGGCTCTAGGAAGGCTTCCATGCAGTGACAACTGTACAGCGTTGATGGTATCTCACATCTTACAATGTAAGTAGCAAATGTTGGCTTTGGGGCATATCAACCAGGCAGAGAACCAAGCAAAGTTGCTGAGCACCCTCAGCGTGCCCACCATTATGTTAGGAGAGAAAGCCTAGATAAAATATATGAAAACAGCATGATCCAGTAAAAAGAGGCTGTCATTGTAGTCATGGAAATTTAGATTCAAATACTGTCTCTACTACATTGTAACTGTTGTATGTAGCCTTGGGTAAAGTCCCTCACCTGACTGTGCCTGAGATTCTTAGAGTTTAAAATAGTGACAAAACTATGTTGTCACAAAGTGGTTGTGTTCATGTAGATTAAAAGTAAAGGCTGATTTTCTTCTGTCTGGGTCTAACTTTCCCCTCCCACTGCCTGGGGCTTACTGTCCAGGAACTGGTTTGGACTAATCCAGGCATGGACTTTGCCAGGCAGGCCCCACTCTCTCTGCTTGCCCCAGGATACATTTCTGCTATGTGCTTTCTGTGGCACATTGTCACGTTTGATGTGATTTCTGTGTTGCTCTGTATCATGATTACAGAGAACAAAGCACTGAGTATACCAGGTAGAGAGAGGCTAAAAAGGAAAAAGGCCCCAGACATCTGTTAGAGCTCTCCATCTATTAGCAGCTAAGTAGTTGGATTAGGCTGAATAATGAAAGCTGGGAGAAAGAGCCTGGGAAACAGTGGGGGGCATGCTTGGGAGTGGGTGAATCTGGGCAGACCAGGCTGCTCAGAATAGGAGGAGGGCAGGGTTGAGGCAACTAGAGATAGCATTTCTTCTTCTAGGGCTGGATGTGCTTTCACTTTGAGAGAGGCCTTCCAAGAATAGTCTGTTCCTTACCATTCCTGCAGGATCATACATTCATTTTTTGTTTGTTTTAGAAGTTCATCTGTTTGCCTCTATCCCTTACATCATGACAGTCCATAATGGGTAGATTTCTGTTCTCACTGGGAACTTCAAAATGAAGTGCTTGGATAGGGACAGTTTCTGAATCAGTATTTATCAGTCAGTGACTTCTGACTGGGATAGGTAATGACAGCCCCAGGATCTCAGGAAGGCAGTGAGCAGTGAGGGCAATAGTAATCAGAGAAGGCTTATGGAGGACGTGGCTTTTGTGCTGGTTCTTAAAGGGACACATAGGTATTGGATAGGTAGTAATAAGAAGAGGAAAGAGCATGGAAAAAATGGTAGTAGGACAAGAAGTCATGTATATAGAGGATGCAACTCAAGTAAAGCTCAAGCATAGGGTCTGTTTAGGAGAGGTGGCAGAAAGGGCCTTGGATGTCAAGGACACTAACAGTATGTTCACTATTGTGCTTTGCTTGGCGGGGGTCACAGGGTAAGGCAAATAGGGAAAACAATGTTGAGAGACATCCTTCTCCATTAACTATTAAGGTAGCAATCAGGGGATTGAAGCTCAGTGACAGCCTCTAATGGGGGAGCCCAGTGTCATTCTTAATGGTGCAGCATTATAGATTTGGGCATTCCCTAGTGGCCATTTCAGGCATAGCATGGAACACTTCAGCTTTTGTCAATAGATGCTGTTTCCATAGAAAAAGGCTAAAGTTTCAAGGAGTCAGCTCTTTACAATCCATCCATGTCAGACAATTTCACTGGATGCTTAGGCAGTAAGCAGAACACAACCAGATTTCTCAGTCATTTGCTAATTTATTAATTCATCCAATATTTATGTTCTACACATTCAAGAACCTCCATATTCTGACCTCATCACTTAAGTCTCTCTTACACAACCTTCTGGCTTTAGCCAGACACTCCCTCCCAAACACAATCTGTACATTTCAAATGAAGCCTCATTTTTATGAATGCCTTTAGTTACTCTTCTATGTCATTTATTTAACAAAAATTTCTTGAGTACCTACTACATGCCAGGTACTGTTAGAGGCACTGGGAACATAGCAGTAAACTAAGCAGACAATAATTCTTGCCTTTGTAGAACTCACATTTTGGCAGTGGAAGAGAATCAGACAATAACCAAAATAAGGAAATATGTTATGCATATTAAAAGGTGATAAAAATGCAGGAGAAAATAAAGTATGAAAAGGAGATGGGGAAGTCTGGGGGTGGGTACTGATTTTTTTCAACAGTGGTCAGGATAGGATTCACTATGAAGGTGACAGTTGAACAAAGAATTAAAGGAGGTGAGAGAGGAAGCCATGTAGAAACCGGGTGTAAGGAACATGCTGGAATGTTCAAGAAATATCAAGCAGACTTTGTGGCTGCCTGGAACTGAGAGAGGGAGAAAATAATCATGGGGTACTTTAAAAGCATGTTAAGACCTAGTACATGACTCTGAGATGGGAAGCCATCAAAGCATTAAAGCAGAGGAGTGAAATGATGTCAACTAGATTTTAACAAGATCATCTTGGCTGCTATGGTAAAAATAGAAACTTGTAATGAGTAGTAAATAAGCCATAGAATTCTAACACACGGTATAATTAATAGAGACCATAAATTGTACTATAATTATGTAATGTGATAATATTGCTACAACACCAATCATATTACAATATATAAGTATATCAAAGTAATAGCCTGTACATCTTAAATTTATGCAATGTTACATGTCAAATTTATTCAATAAAAAGGGAAAGAAAATAGAAATTTGTGAAGGAATGGTGGAAGTGGGGAAACCAGATAAGAGACTATTGCAGAAGAGAGGGATAATGGTAGCTTGGACCCGCGTGGTAACAGTGAAGGTACTCATAACATTTGTTACCTTCTGTTACTGACGACATTTACTCATTTGTATGTCATAGATCTCTTCCTAGATTGTCATAGTCTTACAATGAGAGAAAAACAAGCAGTCTCACGTGTTCTTATGTTTTCCATAGGGTCAATATAGGGTCCTACAACTCTGAATTTACAGAGTTGTGCAACCATTAGCACAATCTAGTTTTAGAACATTTCCATCAGGCCAAAAGAGATCCTCATGCCAATTTTCACTCACTTGTTGTTCTCATGCTCAACCTCTGCAACCACTAACTTACTTTATGTTTAAATATATTTGCCTTTTCTGGACATTTCATGTAATTGGAATGATAAAATATGCAGTCTTTTTTATCTGTCTTTTTTCACTCAGCATAATGTTTTTTAAATTCATGTATGTTCTAGCATGAAACACAGCAGTTTATTTCTTTCTATTGCTGAGTATTATTTCATTTTATGGATATATCACATTTTATTTATCTATTTACCTGGTCATGGACATTTGGATTGTTTGTAGTTTAACTAATATGAATAATGTTTTGAACATTCATGTGGACACATGTTTTTATTTCCCTTGGGTAGATTCCTGGGAGTGCAATTGATTGTTTCATCTTATAGTAATTTATGATTAACATTTTAAGACACTGCCAAACTGTTCTTCAAATTATGACAATATAATCAGAAATGTATGTGGTTTCCAATTTCTCCATATCTTCTTCAGTACTTGGCGGTGTCTATTTTTTGTTATTATTGCCATTCTAGTGGATATGAAGAGGTAACTCATTGTAATTATAATTAGCATTTTTATTGACTAATGATGTTGAGCATCTTTACATCTGCTCATTAACAATATCTGTTTCCTTTGTTAAAATGCCTATTCAAATCTTTTGCCCATTTTAAAATAGATTGTCTTCTTATTGAATTTTAAAAGATTTTTATATATTCTGATTAAAATTCTTTATGAGATATGTAATTTCCTATTTTCTCCCAATCTGTGGCTTGACTTTTCATTTTCTTGATGCTGTATTTTTTAGTGGAATAGTTTTTAATTTCGATGGAATTCTACTTTCTCAATATGTTTTAATGGATCATGCTTTTGGTGTAATATCTAAGAACCATTTGCCTAACCTAAGGTCACAAAGATTTTCTCTTAAGTTTTCTTCTAGAACTTTTATAGGTCTACCTCTTAGATTTAGGTCTATGATTTATTTTGAATTATTTTTGTATGCTTACATGGTATATGTTGAGAGATAGGAATCTAACTTCATTTTTTTTTCTTTTTGCATTTGGATGTCTATTCATCCTATTTGTTGAAAAGACTATTTTTATTTCTCCATTAAATTGTCTTGACAACTTTGTCAAAAACCAATTGTCAATAAATGTAAGGGCTTATTTCTGGATTTTCAACTATGTTCCATTAATATATATGTTCTATACTGTATTATTTATATGCCCTATTCTCTTATTCATTCCTATACTATCTTATTTATTGTAGCTTTGTATTAAGCTTTGAAATGGGGATGTGTACATCCTCCAGCTTTGTTCTTTTACAAAATTGTTTTGTTATTTTGTATCCTGTGCATTTCCATGTAAATTTAAAGATCATTTGCTAATTTCTACAAAATGCTGGTGGGGATTACATTGAATTTGTGCATCAATTTTGGAAGAATTAAAATTCTTACAATGCCGAGTCTTGTAATCCATGAACCAGAAATGTCTTTCAATTTATACAGATCTCTTAGAAATTTCTCTTGGCAATGTTTTGTACTTTTCAGTATATAAGTCTTATACATATTTTGTTAAATTTATTCCCAAGTATTTTATTCTTTATATATGTTATTGTAAATGACATTGTTTTCCTAGTTTCATTTTTTGAATTGGTTGGTTGCTAGTATATGCAAATATAATGATGTTTTGTATATTGATCTTCTATTTTGCTACCTTGCTGAACTCATACATTAGTTCTAGTAGGGTATTTTTGTGTGGATTCTTTAGGATTTTCTATACACAGGACCATGTTGACAATAAGTAAAGACAGTTTTATTTCTTTATTTTCAGTACAAATATTTTCTATTTCTTCTTGTTGCCTGATTGCACTGACTAGATCCACCAGTACAATGTTGGGTAGAAGTCTCAAGAGTAGACATCCTTGTCTTGTTCCTGGTCTTAAAGGAGAGCATTCATTTTCACCATTTAGTGTAATTATAATGTTAGCTGTAGATTTTTAATTGTTAACCTATTTCAGGTTTAAGAAGCTCCCTTCTATTTCTTGTTTGTTGAACTTTTTTTTTTTTTATCATGAATTGGTGTTGGGTTTTGCCCAATGCTTTTACTGCATCTATTAAAATGATAATGTATTTTTGTCCTTTATCCTTTTAACATAGTATGTTACATTAATTAATCTTCACATGTTGAACTGATCATGCAATCTTGGGATAAATCCCCCTTGGTAAAGATGTGCAATCTTTTAATAATCTTTTTTATATGTTGCTGAATTCATTTTACTAATGTTTTGTTGAGGATTTTTGCCTCTGTATCCATGAGAGTTATTGATCTATGTGTAGTTTTTTTGTTTTTCTTGTGATGCCTTTGTCTGGTTTTGGTATCAGAGTAATACTGGCCTCATAGAATGAGTTAATAAGTATTCGTTCATTTATTTTCTGGAAGAGTTTGTGAAGAATTGGTATTTATATATTTTTTGAATATTTGGTATAATTACTCAGTGAGACAATATGTGCCTGATTGATTTTTAAAGAGATTTGTACATTTATCAGTTTTGGCAATAAATAAATAAAGTCATTGATTTGGTCTTTTGAAAAACTTGTTAGGGATTTTCATTGTAATGTGATTTTGAAATACATATACACATATACCTCACCTGTCTAAAAACGAGTATGCCTTCTGTCTAAAACACAATAGAAAGCCAAGACAAAAAAGAAAATAATAACTTCCTAGCACCCAATATGGGTGCCCCCGTGTCCATGTATTTTATCAAATAGGAGAGCACCACAGGGTTCCATGGAAAGTCTATTTATTCTTACAATTCATTAACTGCTAACAGGTTTGAATATCTGTATTCCAATTTTTAAATTTTACAATGTGAATTTTAATTGGAAGATTAGTTTTGGGTTCCCATTTTATGGCAGATTAGAAGTCACAATTTCTTTCTTTATTTTTATTTTTAAAAAAATATATTTTATTGATTTTTTACAGAGAAGAAGGGAGAGGGATAGAGAGCTAGAAACATCAATGAGAAAGATTGATCAGCTGCCTCCTGCACGCCCCCCAGTGGGGATGTGCCCGCAACCAAGGTACTTGCCCTTGACCAGAATCGAACCTGGGACCCTTCAGTCCACAGGCCTATGCTCTATCCACTGAGCCAAACCGGTTCGGCTAGAAGTCACAATTTAGAACCAAGTGGAGACCTAACTCTTTAGGTCTGAAGCCAATGACCAGGAAGTGATTCATATCAATCTGACAGAGAGGGAGAAGGCATAAAAATTATAAAGAAGACACAAGAATTCAAAAGCAAAATAGTTTGAAGCCATTCACTGTCAGGGCAAATAGTCCTATATACCTCAATTGCCTTTGTAGACATAGTGCTATAATATAAGTTTCTAACAATAAACTGGAGACATCTAGAAAAGAGTGCACTATGATCAGAGATAAACTGCAAGTGAGTTGAAAAAGCTAGAATGATTCCCAGTATGATTTATCTACTGGGGATTACAGATAGCTCAGGTTTTACTAGATTCTAAGAGTAACGGATTGCTGTGACTGGCTTACATCATAGGTAGGAGGCTGAATTAGTTTGCTGGGGCTGCCATAACAAAATACCAGAGACTAGTTTGGTTAAATGACAGAAATTTAGTTTCTCACAGCCTGGAGCCTGGAATTCCAAGACTGAAGTTTTGGTTTCTTCTGAAGCCTCTCTCTGTGACTTGCAGATTGTTACCCTCACGATTCATTCTTACTTGGTCTTCCCTCTGTGCACCTGCATTCCTGGTGTCTCTCTGTGTGACTAAATTTCCTCTTTTTATAAGGACACAGGTCAGATTGGATTAGTGGACACACATCTGCCTCATCTAACTTAAATCACTCCTTTATAGAGCCTATCTCCAAACACAGTTGCATTCTGAGGTGCTGGGGAATGGCATATCAACATATGAATTTGAGAGGGGGGTGGGATACAATTCAACTCATAAAGGGATTGATCAGATGTAAAAGAAACCATAAACAGAATGTAGGAGAAGAAAATAACAAAATATTCATCTGTGATCCTGTAGCCTTTAAGACTTACCTTGTGTCTGTGAGTTATTATACAGGGACTTCATAACAACCCACTGCTTCTGATTTGAAAAAAGAATCAGTTAGACACCCCGCCTCCCCCCCCAAATAGACATAAAGCATGGGATGAGAGGCCTTGGCCTGCATTGGCTGCAAAGAAAGGGCTGTTTGTGGGAGGTCAGGGAGTCTTCTGGGTGCTCCATTGCTTAACTCCTCAATGTTAATGTGAAAAAAAATTGTCACTTTTCTATTATGCAGCAGAATTGGGAGACTTTCATGAAGAAACAGATAGGAAACATCTGTCACAAACCCGGTACTTACCGAACCAAGACTGTTTAGAGAGCAAGATCGTGCACTTTCATCAGAAGCACATGTAAGTACTTTTAACTGGCACCCGTTTTCACCAGCAGGGAGCACTGCAGCTGAGAACAAATTTAAAAGCAAACCCCTCAGTCAGAGAAGCTTGAGGCCCAAGAAAACACTGAACTCGTCATGGAGCTCTCAGGGTGAAGTTGTCATTCTTGCCACATTTATTAGGCTCATAAATTCTTTCCCCTTGCAGTGGCAGGAGCCCAGCTGAATCTGACATTCTGCTACTGGACATAGCAAGGAAGTTGGATATGTATGGCATCAGGCCTCACCCCGCCAGTGATGGTGAAGGGATGCAAATCCACCTGGCTGTTGCTCACATGGGAGTACTGGTGTTACGGGTAACAACTGTTTCCTTTGAAGTCCTTTAGCTGTGGGAGTTATCTTGGTTCAAATTTTAGTGTTTGTTCCCAAGGTGATCCAGCCCCTTAGTCTTGCTACCAGTAAGAAAGAGAGGTGATGCTTAGAAGTGTTTTGGGTCAGTCTTCTCCCTTCAATGTGGTTTGCTTCCATTTGCAGTCTATACTTGATTGTTTGGATTCTGAGAAACTCACATATTAGATCAGGCCAGCATGGTTGAGAAAGGAAGTCAAGAGCGTCTTTGGAACTTTTAGACTCTAAGTAAAGAATATGAATATTGGCATCCTAAAATCTTAGGCTGCGACAAATTCACCAAAAACAACTCAAAGGTTCCAAAATGTGGTGTTCTCATTCAGTTACCGGTTTTATTGGAGGCACCCAGTGTCAGCCAATAGGGAATTGGTGCCCAGTCCTGTCAGCAATTGTTGCTGTTTACTGGCTCATCTTTACCCAGAACTTTGTTTTTTAGGCTAGAAACAAACTCATGGCTCTCTTTGTCATTAATCCTCACTCCACAGAACTTGGACAAAAGCTATTTTTTTCAGCGTATTTTTTAATCTATTAGGTCTACTCACATCTGTGAATATTCAATGAATTTAGATCTATGTTAAGCTTCAAGAACACTTGCCTAAACTTCGAAATGAAAAGCAGATACCTAGGAGGGTTTGGGAATGAATCACATTTGAGAGAGGAAGGGCTAACCACAGACCTACTGACCCTAAGGACCAAATTAGACACCGAATTAAGTCACAAAGCAGGTCAGGCACAGATTCAGCTAAAAGAATCTTTGCCTTCTCATTTATTTGGTTGTAAACTTTAGAGTACAAGGGTCACATTGATGGGCAAAAGACTAATGGATCACAGGCATACCTGTTCACCCAGGAAGGAATTTTACCCATTCCACTCTAACCCCTGATCTTTGGTATTTTCTATTGTATAGGAGCAGATGGGGAGGGTAGGTGTGCATGGCCGTAATGTTAGTTGTGATGTCTTTCAGTGTGAATACTTCTGTGGATAGCTGGGAACAATATAGCTGGTCTATTTTGTCTTACTCAAATCCAGTCAAATAATAGTATTGAGTACCTTCTGTGTGTTCTTCATTGAATTATTCTTTCTTAAAAAAACAAAAAACACCTTATCTTTATCAATATATAATTTTCATACAACAAAAATTAACATGTTTTAACTATACAATTAAATGGATTTGAGTGTATTTATGGAGTCGGGAATCTATTTATTCATCCTTCTATCAGTATATTTATTGTGCATTCACTCTGTGCCAGGGACTAGAGCTACAGAGGTAAATAGTAATGATCCTGACCTTGTGGAACTTGCATTCTAATAGATGGAAGACAGATAATGAAGCAAGTAATTATAAGTGAACATGATGTGCTTTGTGCTAGAAGTATGGGGTGCTAAGTAACATGTGAAAAGGGCTTGTGTCCCACCTGTAATGCCTTCATTGGCTATAGCTTCTATCAAGTACAGCAGGATCAGTCTGTGTAAGAAATAGATCAAGGGTAGTCTCATTCATGACATACATTTTCTAACAGGTTTGCATTGTCTTACAAACCAGCTTGTGCTGATATTCATCTCCCTGAAATCTTCTGTGTATTTAATTATAGGGAAATACAAAGATTAATACTTTTAATTGGGCTAAAATCCGCAAGTTGAGTTTTAAGAGAAAGCATTTTCTCATCAAACTTCATGCCAACATCTTGGTAAGTAGCTTTCTAATAAATTCTATCACTTTCTGTTCACCTGGGATTTCTTGGTTGTTTCTGCAAATAGTTTGAATGTGAGTGGTGAAAGCTAGCTGGCCCTGAGGGGTGATGTGCTCCCCCTTTTGACTCTACATAAATAAACCAGAGCTTTACTTAGTCATATTTTTACTAAAGGCAAAATACAAAGAAATCCTATTGGCAATTCAGAACGAATAAAGTAATAGGAAAATGCAGTGGTTGGGATGAAAGACAAGTTTCCTTAGAAACCATTTTTCAGGGATCTGATAAGTCAAATAGATGTGATCGGATCTAGAACTATGGACATATTTGTTCTGTTTTCTGCTCCATTTTATAAAGTATTTTCATCTTCTTTCCTTAAGCAAAAATAATCGATCACCTACTACATGCCAAATAATTGAACACCTACAGTTTACAAAAGCAGGATGTCGGGGTTAGGTGTATATTAAGCAAGAGAAACAACTATTGGTCAAGGCTACATTGTACAGGGTAAGACAAAGGTGCTAGAAAGGATGTTCTTTTATGACTATAAAGCAAATATGCATAAAAAAATTTTGACCTACAGAAGATCCAGTAGTTTGGGCTTCATTCTCTGGATCTTAGCCTTTTATAGAATCATCAGGAGACTGTATCCAGTTTGAAGCTCATGGAGAATCCCAGGGTTGTATATAGGAACATGGAAAAAAATAAGAGATGGGAGGCACCATCAAAGTTGGGGGGCTGCTGAAAATATGGCTACACACATGTATAGGAAAATGGGGATATATAGTGTATTAAAGGAATGGAAAAAAACTTTTATGTCTGAAAGGCTAAGCCTCCCCCAGAGCAGATTAGAACATGCTAAATGAAAAATACAAACCATCATAGAACAAGGCATCCTAGAGAGGAAGAAGTGCTTCTGGTGGTATATTAAAAAGATTCATATACATGTAATCATACTATAAAGCCTGTCATCTATATGGAAATCTCCTCCCCACTCCCCTTTCCTGTTGGTCATTTATAATTCTTGTTACCTTGAAAGGTTACTCTTTAATGTTCATTTTAACCTAATTTACAACTTCATAAAAATGTTCCTGGCAGAAAAGAAGGGGTAAAAAAATGTTTGAGGTGAGGGGGGTGTGCAAGGTAAAATTTGGTTCTTAGAGAAGGCTCTGTTTTTGAGCAGTGGCCCTGGCTGTTCCTCGGAAGGTTGCCAATGATTTGGTTTCAATAGGTGTGAAGCTTATAGGGAGCCAAGTGGAAAACCAGAAGCTGCATGGGCGCCTGGACCAATAGTTTGGAAGGCTTTGGGATTTGAAGGTCTTTATAATCTTGAAGGCTATTTTGCTTGATGGAACTTGGTTTATACAGGTGTTGTGCAAGGACACCTTGGAGTTCACCATGGCCAGCCGAGATGTCTGTAAGGCTTTCTGGAAGACCTGTGTGGAATACCATGCTTTCTTCAGACTCTCTGAAGAGCCCAAATCAAAGCCCAAAACCCTACTCTGCAGCAAGGGTTCCAGTTTCCGCTATAGGTAATTTAATATTACACATAGGCAAACTACACACACAAATTTTCAATAAAATGGAAGGCAGTAGAAGTTTGAATTCTAGAAGCAATAAAGAATTTATTTCAATCACTTAAACAATGATACTCTTTACTACTCATTCTCTGTGTGACATATTAAGTCAATATTTTCTAAATGGGAGGCAGGGGGAGAGAAACATCTTACTTAAGGGGTTAGATCAGAATTCTGCAAGGATGAGGGGACATATGCAGTTTGAGAAAATATATTCAATGAACCTATTGCTTTGCTTATATGCAACTTACATGCAAGTCATGGAAAAGAAAGCTCAACAACATTCTTTTGGTGGTGGTTAGGCAAAAGATAGTGTGAGTAAGCATGAAAGGGGCCAAGAGATTAAAAAGTTTGAGCAATATTGCAGTAGAAGCTCCTTATTACAGGTAATACCTTGGAGAAATTGAAGCAACGTCTAAATAAGATCTTGTCTCTACTTGAAGACACCAAACTAGGAATTCTTAGGAAAAGCCTTTTAAAACTCTTTGCTAAGAGAAAAATATACTAATCAAATGCTTCCCATAAGGGCTTTTTCAAATAGTGGAGGCCTGCACCAGTAAGAGCTGAGATTTTTTTTAAACATACATATTTTTGATGGAATCTTTCCAAAATGTATTCTATAATTCCCCACTTTCTTAAACAGATGATACTGATCATATTTTTCCTTTTTAAATGGCCTAAGTAATTATAAATATCACTTATTATCGTCTGCAGGCAGCTGTAGTAAGGTGATGGCCTCAGGGTGGGGGACACATGTCAGACCCTATATCTCAGTGATAAATGGCCCAGAATTGTTAGGTTTTATTATTCTTGTGATTTCTTTTTTGACTCGTGTTTCTTTCAGCAGTCAGCTGGCTTTTTTGCTAGTGTATGTCTGACTGAAGCAACCCTCTTCTACTGTTTAATTAGTTGTTTTTCTTCTCTCATGGGTTAGGAAACCAGTAAAATAGCCTCATTAGAAATCATTTGTAAATTTGGAAGTAGAGAGAATGCCTATAAAAAGAAAGCATATTAGTTTCCAAGGCCAGAATTTTCAACTGTTATAGAGCCCTGTTCCGAGGCTTTTTAAAATTTTCTGGGATCTGAGTAATTGAGGTTGCTCTATGCCTGCTGGTTAGTTAAGTGGGTATTATCATTAATATGCTGGTCAAAGATTCATGACATATGTTAGTAATCCAGACTCTTAATATTTCAACAATTAATGAGGCTTTTGAGTGTTAGTAGCCTATTCACTTACAAATAGCATTAATAAAATGTTTACCTTTTTTCTTGTAATAGTGGAAGAACCCAAAGGCAGCTTTTGGAATATGGGGGGAAAGGGAGGTTGAAGAGCTTGCCATTTGAAAGGTACAATGTTTTGTTTCTCTCTCTCTCTCTCTCTCTCTCTCTCTCTCTCTCTCGTTGAATTTGACTTGAATTTAGAGATTTATATGTATCCTGTATTCACATAAACACCATTTCAATACATTCTTCATTTGGCAATTTCAGGAAACATTACCCATCTCAGTACCATGAACGACAGTGCAGGTCCTCACCAGACCTCCTCTCTGATGTCTCAAAACAAGTAAGGTTCTGAAAATGCTTTTTTAAAGATAAGTGTAATGTGTTGTTTCAAAAGCTTCCAAGAATTGATTCTGCCAGAATCTCCCAGTTACTGTGTTTGAGTAGGTTAGCCTCCTGTGGAGGTCTGTCAGCTCCATCTTTCCAGCCAATAGAAGAGCATTTAGTACACTACCACTGGTGTGTATCTTATAGACTGGAAGGATCTGGCTTAAATTGCCATATGCAATGCTAACATGTTGAAAAATGTAGTCAAATGAATATATATGACTTTGTATTACCTATAAAAACTTAGGCACAGAGGAAGCTATAAGGTGTTGGGTTAAAATTTTAAAGTACTTTTGCTGTATAATTTTGTAACTCAATTTAAGAACAAAGTGCTGTTATCCTGAAATTGAGATGATGGCTTCATTTGAGTGTTATAGTATGAACCATGTTGTCTTTTACTCTCACAAAAAATTAATTATAGGTCTCATATACTCTTATGTCTTCATTCAAATCACAGGCAGTTTTTATCTGAAAGGCATCACAAAGGTATAATGTTGAAAGGTACCATATATTATATGACCCTCTCATGCCAGTCATAGGCCTCCTCCTCAGCATTTTACAGAAAATAGGCAGGAGGCTGGAACAGGGAGGTTAGAAGACTTGCCTAAGGTCACACAGCAATGAGCCAGGACAGAAGTCAGAATTCCTGGCTCATTAATATAGGTACTAAACCATACTGTTTGAAGTACAATCCTGGCTGAAGTACATAGAGAACTTGGAGCCCGAGAGTGGGATGGAACTGAGAAAGGATAGTGTCATGTGTGTTTTTTGTACATGAATTTGGATATGGTACAAGTTATTACCTTTTCTGAATATATTTATCAACCCTGGAATAGAAGATGATTTGAAATAACTTTGTGACCTTTGCAAAACTTAAGGCTAATTTAGATTCCTGATTCCACCCAACCAAATGACTGTTTCCTTCTTTTACCAACATGTCCTTTCTCTCAAGGTGGAAGATTTGAGACTAGCCTATGGCAGTGGGTACTACCGAAATGTGAATGGAGTGCACGCATCTGAGCCTGTGCTAGACAGTAGGAGGAGAAACTCTGCAGTGGAGGTGACATTTGCAGCAGAGCTGGAGCGTTCCAAACCAGAGGCAGATCCCACATTGTTACATCAATCGCAAAGCAGTTCCTCTTTCTCTTTTTTTTATACTGATCCTATCTTTAACACTAACCACGATCCTGACACTGATTCTACAGACTACTTTGAGGAAAGAAGTCCTCTAAGCTCCTTCCGAACAAGCTGTAAGTTTGCTGACAATCACATGAGCACATCTTCTGGCCTTACAAGCAAAGTGAGTCCAGCAAAGAGGCTAACATACACAGATGTGCCGTATATTCCTTGTACTGGTCAGCAGGTTGATATTATGCCTCCCCAAGTCTTTTTTTATATGGACAAACCACCCCAGGTGCCCAGACAGTCTCCAATTATGGTAGAGGAAAGGGAAAGTCTAAACAGCTGTCTAGAACCCACTGCAACGAAGCCAGTCAGAAGAAGCCCAAGGAATATCAGAATGAAGAGCTTTCAGCAAGACTTTCAAGAACTCAAAGAAGCTATGGATAGGACAAGTGGTAGGAGCAACATCAACGTAGATCTAGAAGACCCAGATTTAGAAGATGCATTTGCATATAATATTCAAGAGCAACCCCCTAAACGCTCCCACAGCCAATCAGACATGAAAACTATCCGTTTTCCTTTTGGGTCAGAATTTAGACCTTTAGGGCCTTGTCCTGCTCTGAGTCGTAAAGCTGACCTATTTACTCATATGTTTGCAGAGCAGGAGTTTCCAACAGTTCTAATGGATCAGGGAGCATCAGAAAGGTATGTAGCGAATGAATCCAGTGATTCTGAATCAGAGATTCTTAAACCAGACTATTACTCTGTGTATGGTAAAGGAATGAGGTCACCCATGGCCCGAATTCGCTTGTCTTCTGGTAGTCTACAGCTAGATGAAGAAGATGAAAATGTTTCTTCCAATACAACTGCTGAAGACAGGACTTTGTTAAAACCATGTAATTACTTTTTAGCTTAAAAGTGTAAACTCTGTGACCATATTTGGACCAGTTCTGTTACCAACTTAGGAAAAAGAAGGAACCTTCTGCATAAACCATTTTCTTAGTTCCTATTCATTGGTATTTAGGGAATCTTCGAAGTTTAGGCATGTGGCTTATGAAAGATTCAACTGCTGCCTTGTTTATCAACTTCTACTCTTCTATTCCCTCTAAAAGAACGGTGGAACATGCCCTCTCCTCATTAGCACTGTGGTGAAGTGAGGTGGGTATTTGTCATCTTCATGACACATTTTCCCATAGAGACATTATAAATGAAGATCAGGCTCCTTAATACTGAAGAATGGTGACAGTATGGGTTGGCATATAGAACTGGCTTCTTATGTCATTTAGTGATTTAGTAGATCGTGACTGTGTTAGTCATTTTTGTTCTTAAATAGTACTATGACTAAAGGTTTCAGTCCTCATTATCTGTGTGGGGCCCAGTAAAAATGGTCCTGTAATATGTTAAGAACTTCAATTTATATAAGATATGTTAGGGGTATCGTGGCCCTCCTGAAGCTCAGGAACAAGATGTGCCATAGATTCAACAGCCACAAGTTTATAATTTTTCTAGGACTTGGCAGAATTCTAATCTTCAGAAATGAATGAATTAATGAATTTCTAAAGCCAGATATATGCCTGCTGAGGATATAATAATGTTTAACTTATTACTTCTCTATTCTTAACTATCTATTATATGTAGTGAAAGAGAAAAGCTAACTGTTGGTTTGTTTAATCTCCTGTAAGACTTTTTTTGCTATATCTTGTTGCATGTATGTAGGCAAGGAAATGAGATGAATAGTATTTTAACAGAGTGACTGAAATCCATTTATTAAAAATGCTATAAGTATTATGTTCCTTTTGTTTTAATAAATTTCAGGAGTGATTGGTTTGAGCCTGTTACAAAGGAAAAGGACTGAAGAAGTGAAAGGAGGGAGGCCGGTGAAAATGTATAGTCATGGATAAAGAAGTGGTAGAATTAGGATAGCTGAAAAAAAATGATAGTACTAAAAGCAGACTGAGTTAATAAACCAAAAGTCTATTCTTAACCCATTCAGAATTTTTCTACTATTCCCCCTGGAAGGCATAGCATTTTATTTAAGAACATCATTTTGTTTACTGATTTTAATTTTGAGTAAAGCATATAAGATAATGTTAAGTACTAACTTTAAAAGTGTTGCAATTATATAAGCAAGCTATTTTAATATATGACTTAATGGAGAAAAGATGGATAGAATAATTTCCTTATTCTCCTAGTCTTTACATCAGAAAAATTGCTTTTTTAAAAAAATATACTTTATTGATTTTTTACAGAGAGGAAGGGAGAGGAATAGAGAGTGAGAAACATTGATGAGAGAGAAACATCGATCAGCTGCCTCCTGCACACTCCCTACTGGGTATGTGCCTGCAGCCAAGGTACATGCCCTTGACCGGATTCAAAGCTGGGACCCTTGAGTCTGCAGGCCAATGCTCTATCCACTGAGCCAAACCGGTTAGGGCAGAAAAATCCCTTTTAATATATGTTCCTTTACCCCTTTCCCATAGTCTAGCACTTTCTTTCCTGCTCCTGAAATTGTGTCCAGTAACTCACAAGTATAGAATAGCTAGTTTATAATAAGAATATACAGGGATGAGCAAAAGTATGTTTACAGTTGTTTGTATGGGAAAAGACATGCAGGTTTTGATGATTACAATAGCTTTATTAACTCTGTTTCACATACTCACAATTGTAAACCTAATTTTGCCCACCCCACTATTGAAGTCCAATCACCTATACGTTAATCCTAAACATCCTCAAACCTATATTAAGTTCATCTTTGACTTTTCCTCTAGGAAAAACTCAAATTCATTTAGGCTTATATGTTGTTTCTTGTTTCAATTTCTGTAAGTCTTTGTAAAGTTTGCTTTCCCCAGAGAACTATAGGATTCAAATCTTTATGAGATTTCCTAATAAAAACTATGATCAGGGGGAACATATAAATTATTGTTCAACCTAGGACATTTTTGAGTGAAAGAGTACTCTGTTAATAATTTTGTCAGGATAGAAGGCAGAATAAGGACGTATATTCACTGTGGCTATAATCAGTGCTTAATAAAATGTGAATAATATCTTTTAGGTCCCAATTAGTATTAAAATTCCCACAATAAATTAAAGGAAAAAGGGGAAATGATCTGAAACAATTAAAATACCACACCATACATTCCTCAAGAAAACAAACATTGAGGACCATGAAATTTAAATATTTATTTTACACCCCCGCCAAACACTGGAGTACGCTTCACCTAGAAACAGTTTACAGGACTAATAACTACAATGAATAAGCAATACAATTTCTATTTATGATGCAGTTGTGGTGTAAAGTTTTAAATAATCAATTTATAAATTGGTTGCTTTTACTGTTATAAAAATATTCTTTTAACTCATGATATGAGTGGCAAATTTATTTCCTAACCTCTACAGATTATAAATTGTAATTGAGTTTCAGTTCCATAGAAGGTGAAAATTTTAACTGAGCCATTACTTGAAAATAAAATGTGTTAAAAGTAATCTTTAAAGTGTAGGCACCAATGAAAATAATTTTCTTGGCACATGACATGACAAAAACTTAATTGTCTTTATTCTTACAAAAAGAGGAGGTAATGGCCACTTTGATTAAAAACTATATTCTTTACTTGAAGAATATTTTTCTTCTAATATTTGGCAATTATTCAGATTTTTAAAAATGACTTTTGTGCAAAAACAAAATTGTGCAGTTCCAAACAATAAAACGTCAACCATCAAAATTAACTAATATCAATAATTAGACAACTACAGTTCAGAACTTAGGCAGGCATAATATATATACTGGGCTTAAAAAAGGTATTACTCACATAACAGTACCATAAATATAACTGAAAATTAACTGTACAGTCTAACTTACCTTTGTACAGACAGAAATCATCCTGTACTATGGTTACTTTCATATGAACTAGAAAATTCCTATTTAAATACCCTTTCAAAAATGAACAAATGATGCTTATGTACTAGATAATTATGAAGAGCAAAAATGTATAAATAGTTTATAGCATATTTTACTACCATGATAAAAATATGCTGGTGTAAATTATATTCCTACCTGTTGATTAGGTTTCAATCACATGAAGAGCAGCTTTTTAAGCTCCCCAAATCTAAGCATATAATATGCTATTTGAATTGAAAATTTAAAAAAATGAAGACTAATTCCTACAGTATTACCAAAAACCCATTCTTGGCATTGCATTAAATCTTCAACCATGTTAAATAAGGGTTAATTTCCTCTTCTAAAAGAGATGATAAATACTGCACACCAAGAAGTACCCCTGTTGCTACATGTTGCCTATAAATGCTTTAAACACAGGGCTCTTCAATGTGATCGTCATTGAGCTACCTGGAATATCATACCAACTTTGTAGGAGAGTCTATACTTTTCCAGGTACCATTTCCAAGAGTTTATTAAAAACTTCTCTTTTAAGAAGGTATGACTTGTTTGCACCTCTCCACCGACAGTAATTTTTAGAACATGCTTATGTTTTTTTTAAGCTTTTGGAGATTTGATAATTTACAAAAGTTGAATATTTAGAATGACTTTGAAAGACCTGTATGTTTCATCAGTGTATAGTTAACTAAAGATCGAAACATGAAAGGTATTCATCCTAGTAACTTAATAATGATATCTAAAAGCAAAACTATATCTCAACATTTACTAGAAAACAGATGAAACTATAGTATTAAAAGTTATTCCTTACAAAATAATCTCTTTAAAATATAAAATGATAAACACCATCACAAAATAGTTGAATAGTTTCTTTCACATCTTCAATGTTGCAAAGATCCAAAAGGCACATGGAGCTCATGAGTTAAGCATTGTTAAGCTTGAAGTAACTTTGGTGGGTTTCTCTGGGTCCGCATGAAATGAAAGCCAATATTAAGTTTCTTAGGGGGATTCATCTGCTGAACACCTACAAAATTAAAAAAAACTTATATTTATATACAACTATGCATTTTTATATTTCACATCTGTATAAAATCTATAATAAAGAAACTGATTCAGCAAACTAAATCCTTTCCATTGAATCCTAACATGTAGATGTTAAAGATTTAAAGAAGTTCAAAAATCCCTTCCACATTTGATTTTACAACTGGCAATTGATTTTCTTTTATAAATTGGAAAAAAGGGGGAGTTTTCCATTAAAATCTAAGGAGTTTTAGGTTATAAGTACAAGTAGGCTTTATCAGATCTAAAGATGTATGAGAGTTTATGCTTTTACAGGCTTTATAGTTTGTTCCTACTTGATGCCAGGGACATCACCAATACAAAGAAATATAAAGATGCACCAAGAAGCGATATAATGGGATTAAGGCTAAAATTAGTATTGCTTTATACTTGCTTGAGCTAAGGAGCTGTGTATGTCCACAAAAGCCTTGTTCAAAAGAGCATTTAAAAATTAAATGTAAGGACTTCGTTGAATGTTAAAAAAATTAAACCAATAGTTTAAGACACAGTATAGAAACTAAAGTTAATTATAAGGAACATTTATAGTCTTCATTGAGTTCCTCTACCTAAAATCCATTCCTTAATTTTTTTAATGGGGGTTAAATTTATGGACTTTAGCACTAGAAACTGTAAATAGTGGTGGTCTGGTGAGAGTAGTGGAAGAGGGTATAGGGGGAATAAATGGTGATGGAAGGAGACTTGACATGGGGTGGTGAACACACAACACAATATACAGTTGATGCATTATAGAATAAAAGAGTTTTTAAGCATACAACTATAAAAAGGTGATTTTGTAAGGAACAATTGAAATGATTGAATCAAGGCAATTATATTGCATTATAAATTAACATCAAACAGAAAAATGTCAAAATAGTTTTAAAAAATGACATTTCAAACTTACTTTTGGAATTTTTCAATTAATTTCTTCACCATTTTATCTGTGATGCCAGGACAGGCGGCTTCAGCCACAGCAATACTTTTCTCGAGTTCTTCAATTGCCTGATTCCTGCTAGCATTATTCTCATCCTGCTGTTTAAGCTGAGAAAGATCAATAGCTATAACATTTAAAATTACTATACTTCTTAAGATACATAGTCAATGATGAATCTGTACTTACTTCAGCAAATGCAGGTGTGATTATCATAGACAAACAGCTCAGGGTTTGCACAAGGTCTTTCTCCTTTGAACAAATAATATAGATTATACACATGAATTTAAAACATTCATTTGTATTTTTCTTTGTTTTTCTATGGTAAATGTGCATTAATTCGAATCCCCCCCCTCCAAAAAAAAAGACTCCATGCTTTCTTCCCATCACTAATTTCATCCATCATCCAGAAGGCTTCTAACTTCTAGGATTACAATAGATATCCATGATTCCACTGGATATATATGTATCTCTAGGTAAAATACATTTAACATTATACAAGTGTCCACATAAATTATTTCTATGACCTTTTCTTAATTAGCTCATAACTAATGACAAATGAGGTATAGTAGGGACACAGTGAAGTAGACAGGCATTTAGGGGTATTAAATTCCAATAATTTTGACCATCAAAATCTCACTACATAGTTTGAAAAAGTCTATCAAGAGGAAGTGATCATTTCCATGTACATACTGCCCCATTCTGCAGTTTCTTTGGGTCAGGCTTCTTTCGCACGGTGGTAAAGCTCCATTCAGGATGCGTATTATTTTCCCTGCTGGTGGATTCCCTAAAATGATTGCCAAAGGTATTTCAATAAGTTCTTAAATAATTCAGCTTGGTGAAAATGCCAAATCAATGCAATCAAACTCTTAAGAGAGACTGTCCCAATATATAAAATAATATAGTATAAGAA